CCTGCTGCCGTCCGGATCGACAGCCAATGCGCGCAGCCAGCGAGAGTTCACAACGAAAAATGGCGTCAAATATTGTTGATGTTTACGCATCAGAAAAAGCTAATAGCGCGGGTATTTGGCACAATTTGACAGAACAATTATTTGGTGTGGACGATGATAAACACTGATACACAAAGTTGACATGCGGCTATACCAGCAATGCTACACTGTGTGATGCTGGGACGGGCTGAACTCACCAGGATTCGCGGAACCACACGTGACGTCACGACACAGCACCAAGCAGCGGCAAGTTTGAATCCAGACTTTTCTGGATACCTCTGAATTTGACCCATTTTCCCGATATTAACAAGTGATTTACAGCAAATAGGAAACGATATTCGATCTATATCACGTGTTACTGGAATAAGACCCAACAAGTTAATGCATTTTGAAACAGTTCTATGATCTTTCAGCTACAGTAAATTACGCAAGATAAGGACTTTAACGTTTTGTCTTATTGGGACTACATTTGGTGGATGTCTGTAGTTGTATTGTCTGATTGACCAGGGCACATTTGGTGCCAATCAGCCAAAGGGTTTTGGCGCATCTTCAAACTATTAAGAAGGCATCTCTGTCTGTGAATGTACAACTTCTTTGCATATCTCGAGAACTGTTCATCCAATACACTTTATGTTTGGTGGGTGTCTCGCTGAGGACCAAAGAAAGTTCAGTGTTGAGTGAGAAGAGAATTAGACGAGGCGATCTTGGCGCTAGCGGCCCGTCCACACAGCAGCGTTAAAAAAATCTCTCAACGCTTCTGCCCATTGACTTTGAATGGGGTGAGGTCACTTTGCCTCGCTTTTCGCCGAACTGCATTGTGGGGAAGCAAACCAGATTTCCAGGATTTCAGGATCAAAGTTGAGCAATGTTTCAAACTTTTGAAGCTGAGCTGGAAGCGTCAGCCAATCAAATCCCGTTTATGCAAATCTGACAGTACAAGCGCTAGCCAATCAAACCGCGTGCAAGCTGGGAGAGCCAGGCCGCAGTTCATTTTCTATATTCCTAAAAATGGAGGAGAAATTAGTTATTGCGGTAGCAAATCACCCGGTTCTTTATGACCAGTCGCTTATAACTTACCGGGATACAAACCGGAGGAACCAGGCATGGAGGGAGGTGGCAGAGACAGTGGGTGAAACTGGTAGGTTTTCGCCTGTTTGGAGAGTTTATATCCAGTTTACTTCGTTTTAACATTGCTATTGCTTTGTATGTCGGGGGCGGGAGATTCATGTGATTGGTTGTTGGTCGCAAAAAATCCCCAAGCTTTAAGACACGCCCACCTCCAAGATTTTCCAGATTTTTTTAACGCTGCTGTGTGGACGGGCCGTAAGTTTGAGCTGTTTTAGTCGGGCACAGCACTGATACCTTAAAGGACTGGACGAAGGTCCACAGCAGGATGCGGATGGTCTCTCCTTGACGCAGCAGCTTGATGAGCCGAGCCGCCCTGAACAGCCTCAGGAAGCTCAAGTTGATGAAGTTATTCTAAAGCGCAGTGGGAAACACAGTCAGCTTCACAGAACAAACTCAACATGCAAAACCTCCCTCTACCAAACACACAAACCAAAACCAACAGCGGAGGAAAGAGAGGTTAAAGAGAGAGGGGGGGAATCAAACCCAACAAAACATAACTGCAAACTTAATGATTCATAGTAGATGCAAGTATACATGGGAGGAAGACAGAGAGAAGGTTTGAAAGTCAAGGAAAAGAGAGGAAATCAGGAAAATCATAATTCAAAGAGTTTAAAGTTCATCATCCAATCTGGTACAGCAGAACGCTTTTTTAAGAACCAAATGCACTGATCTTTGGGGGGCAGGCAGGCCTCACAGGATGGAGCACATTGCACTGTGCCTGTCAACCACACACACACACACACACACACACACCTAAAGAGCGTGGCTTAAGGTTGTCTGTGACACGCAAATCTTTTAATAGTTTGGGTTTACTTTTCAAAATCAGATGACATGTGATGTATTTTCCACAGAGCCGTTGTTCAATAGAGTTCTAGAAATTTGGTGCATTTTCACACTTGGGTTTTTTCCCCCTGAGTTTAGTTTGCTCCGGAAAGTCAGCGCAGAAATCTGTTTCTCTTTGATGCTATTGATCGTAGCACACACCAATGTTATTGACCATTTCCAATAATATATGACACATTAACGTCATCCCCTATTGGATACAAAATATGTGTGTGGTTATATTTGTAGGAAAGATAATTGTAAGCAAATGGTAAAACAAATGCTCAGATATTTCGTAGGATATTGTTCCTTTGTGGCTTGTTTAAAGTTGCTGCTTGATTGTGACCCAGGCACAACTGCTTTTATATGGTTTGACTAAAGAACCAGTTTACAAATTATGAAGCATATCATTTTCTTGTCATGTGACATAGTGGATACGAATACTAGTCCCAGCCTCTCTCACGGGTTTAGGGTGACTCCTGTGTGTGATAACAGTCCTGCAGTAATGACTTGTTCAGACAACTGAAGACACAAAATACAGTCTTGGCAAACAGTGGTATTTAGGAACCACCGAGACACAGGTGTCACATTTAAATGTTCTGGAAAGTTCCTTATACAGCTTTAGCCTTGTTTTTATCTCGTGAAGTCCCTAAGTGACACACCCTGAGCAGTCTGGTGGGTCATGTGACTTTGTGTTCCCATGACAACATGTCCAAGATGTCCATGTGCGATGCTAACACCTGTGACAGAACTAGCTACAT